CACACACACACACACACACACACACACACACACACGCTCGCACGCACGCACGAATAACCTATTATTAATTAAAAGTGTAGTTTTTACATAGTACTTTTGCTATTGAAAATTCAAACTCCATAAAATTACACAAGGTAAATGTATGACTACTTAGAATAATTTGTATACAAAAGTTGCATATATACCTGTGTTTTTGATTGCTTCTAGTAATTGTATTGATTTTATTCTACCTAGTCTGTTTGAAATTTGTAAATAATAGAATAATTTTCAAAATTTTTGGCAGTTGCATGTTTATTTGAGATTAATTATTATGTTTGAAAATATTTTTAAAATTGAATTTAATGTACGTCTTGATTCATCCATTCAAAAGTTATATCAGTTTTATTACATTTATGCTCAACCCTTTTTATATTTTAGACATTATCTCTCCCTGTTGTCGTTATTGTCCATGGTAATCAGGAACCCCATGCTTGGGCAACAGTGACTTGGGACAATGCTTTTGCAGAACCTGTAAGTTGGTTATTTCTTTCCAGTATATACAAAAGTATAGTATTTTATAAAAAAGTAATTTAAAGTTTATTGTTACAAATAAAGAAACTTAAAAGTAAAACCTTGTATACATTCAGTTTATGAACAGGAGTAATACCTTTGAAAAAAGGATATTGCAAAGGAACAGAACTCTTTAGGTTTTGTTTTAGTAAAATATTTAACCATCTTGCTAAGGGCTCGGGTGATTCGACCTAAATCGTGATCTCAAATTGACCCTTAGTTTCCATACTATAATTTTTAATATGTTTTGTGTGTCACAAAATTTTGCAAGCTTTCAGTAAGCAACACACGTTTTTATAAACAAAAAGTCCAAATTATTAATGAAGTATTTTTACTAAATATTTCTCCATGAACTTGTGGAGTCAGAGTGCTGACTGCTTTGAGTGCAAAGTGATTTTTCATATTAAGATTAGCAGAAATTTCTTCATCTGAAAATTCTCTGAAATTTTGCAAATAAATTTCAAATTATTTTTTGTTCAGTAAAACTTTTTTTTATTTGTTGTTTTCTCTACCCTTACTCTATACAGGGTTGGCCAATTTGACTGACCTCATAACTACCATAAAACAAATACAAAATTAGTATAAATTACCCTTTTTTATATTTTTAGAATGACTTCAGTTTTTAACAGGAAACTAGACTTGTTTATTCTAAAAATCTTAATACTAGTCACAGTATACATTTGTTTTCACTTAAATTTTATTGTTTTATTGCCCTTTGAGTCCTGTCTAACTAACAGCCCCACCACACAAGTTGTAAATCACTCTGTGAACATGTAGCTCACGTTATCTATAAAAATTAACACACAAGCTTCTTGCAAGCATACTTTATGAATAATTTTTATTATTATTATTCCTTATCTAACCTAATAAGTTTCTGATTTTTAAATTTTTGTTACTTTTATAATAATATTTAAAGAATATACATGAAAAATAAGAAAGATAGTACATACTTGGGTTTGTTTGTTTCTTTGCTGTCGACTGTTGATGAAACTTATCCCATTTTTTTATTCTAATGGCACTACTACATAATATAATTTTTTATTTAATTAACCGTATGAGACCTGACACCATTTTTAAATTTCTTTCTTCCCATGTTACTGCGTTACATTCAAAATTTAATTAAACCACTTTACTATCAGTGTATTTTAATGAAACTATTATTATTATCTAAGTTATTACTCCTATTTCAAAAGAAACCTCTAAAATAACAATTTAAAACTGTGCTTGCAGTTACAAACATGAACTTTAAGAGCTGGTATACAAGAAAAACTGTATGTGTAATATAGAAATTTTCTCCGGAACATTCAAAGTACAGTGTATGCAGGTTGTATACAAGTAAGTCGAGAACATTCCAAGAACTTGTCCCAGAGATAAAGGTTGTAAAAGTTTCCTCAGTTGAAGATAAGCCATACCCACTTGCAAAGTAGAAGCTGTGTTGCTAAGCGACAGTTTTAAGTTGGAATTCCGTACTTATAGCCAATAAAAAGAGCCAATTTTATGCAGTATTTAATTAATTAATTAATTAATGATTTTTTTTAACAGAGGAAGTCAAAAAAAGCTTAGTCTGTTGTTGAGAATGGCATCTCTAGCACTTGGCTATTTTTTCTTGCCTTCTGTATATTAGTTTGATAGACAGTGAAATTGCATTTATGTTTTACTTTTATATTTTAATTAATTATGTATTATTTGTCTTTTACTTGAAAGGTTTAGTGATTATTTAAGTTTTAATACTTATCGCTTAGCTGCTCATGGGTTATAAAGAGCCAAGGGCAAACATTATGCCACAGGCTAAAGCTCTGCTAATCACAACATTACTATGCCTGCAGTATAAAAAGAGCCAAGGGCAAACATTATGCCATAGGCTAAAGTGGACTCTCTGCTGATCACAATGTTACTTTGCCTTCAGGGACCTGCTGAAGTGTGTCGACATAAATAAACTAAAGATAAAGAATTGGAAAGGAAAATAAAACATTAAAAACTTGTGAAATGGTAAAGACTTGAAATCACGCATATGACTCAAAAGAAGATATTTTAAGATTATTAAACGAAGAGATAAAAGGTAAGTACATATTTCCATTTTTCAATTTTAAACATTTCATTGCACTGTACTGATAATAGCTAGTTAGTGATATGGTATAGAAAATGGAAAATAAATTATAAACTTTTACCTTAAAAAAACTTTTGATATTCATGTAACAGGTTCTATAGATTATGTAAGTGAAATGTGAAAACTGCAAGATAAATAAATAGTATTCTTATACTTAACATGAAAACCACATTGCAGGTGAACTATTCAGAGTCTAGTGCAACTAACTACATTAGATAACAAATTTTTATTAGAAATAGTAGAAAAATCAAAATTAAATGTTTTATTGTTTTGAAACTACATACTTTTAAGAAAGATCTTGTCAAATTTCAAACAATTTCATCCACTAGAATCAGAACAACATTACCTATAGGCAGTGCCCTGAGCTGGTAATCATAGAATTAAATAATGCACCTAAAAATACTGAATAATAACACATAAAAAAAGCAGACTATAACTATCATAATATTTCTGGCTTTCTAACTATGCAATAAGAACCATTAAAAAGGCATCTAAGCTCATCAGTGTGTGTTTCATGTGGGAATAAAGTTTGAACTCTAAGTGAAATAGACAATTATTTGTACAGAAAACAATGTAATATAATATATCATTTGATAGATTAAAACCTTGGTTTTCTGTTGGTTATAAACAATATAGTATTAAATGTCAGAGAGAACTATTGGCAATTTGTGAAAGAGAGGATGTGACAGGTGGGTGTGGCAAGAGGGGTCTGATTTACTGTTTTATTGTTCTGTAACTAAATAAGATTGAAGGCTATAAACTTATGCTTTGCCTGAGTAATAACAATATGATAGTGAATAATTTACATTAAATTTTGTAATTCTCAGAGGGGTAGTAAAAAATTAGAGAAGAGGGATACCTAGAGAGCAAATGTCACAATTCTCATGCTGTGGTAAGATTGAGGATTTTTTTTAAATATTTCCTCATAAAATTAAGAACTTAAAACATATATTAAAATTTGATATATTAACTATATGTTTATGCCAGATTTATTTGTATACTATGATAATTGAAGTGGTTTAATTAATTCTTGAATGTAACTAAAAAGTCATGACATGCACACTTTGACCTGCCCATAGCAAGAGGGTTAATAAGTATAGTGCAATTACTATTATATTTCAAAACAATGCTTATTCTTTTTTGAGGGTTTTTGTAGATTTAAATACAAAATGTTTTAAAGCCAGTAACAATTCTTCAATGTTTACTAGATATGAGAACAAATACAACATAACAATGTTCTTTGTCAGAGGAAATTTAAGTTCAACCTACTAAACCTTGAACCATTTTGTTTTATTTTTTCTAATTATTAATCTGCTTAAGTTCAAGATTCATTTTGCTTGTTGAGATAATATTTCAATATATATTGACTTCTTTGATTAAATAATGTAGAGAAGTTAATCTGTCATTGAATGTATACTCCTGTCCCAGTCTCTCCATTTGATAAATTAAAAAAATCTTTACTGTGGTTCTATCATTCATGTAAGTATGTACATAACCCCCTCTCTGATAATTCCATTTGTGTACAACTATTTAATGTTGGCTTTTTTATTAGTGTGTGTGTGTGTGTGTGTATTTATAGACATAATCTTTGTTTTATTATAAACCAGATAATTATTTTTTCAAAATGGTAAATTTCATAATACATCACTTCACCTCTCAAGTATTTCTTGTTATGCATTTTTGACATATTGTATATATTGTTCATCTTTACAATGGTTTTTTTATAATGCATGTTCAGATGTATCTACCAAATATTCCTAATACTTTTTGTGTTAACTGAATGAAGCTCTTTGTTTGCATGTCTTGCTCTATAGAGCTTAAATGTTCATGTTATGAGTGAATATGCAAAGTCATTGTCTACTGTTAATAGGTTAACAATGAAATATCTAAGCTTAGAAAAAAACAGCTCTTTTTGCCTAAAAAAGATAATAAATTCTGTTTGACTATAAATGTTGTTTTTCTTTAATAATTAACTAGGTATTTCAATCCAGATTGGAATAATAAAAAAAAAAAAAATTCTGCCTAGGGAGTCCTTTTCTTTTTGCTGTTCAATACCAGTACCAGCCACAAGTCTGAAATCTCATTTGTATCATGCTAAGTACTCATTTCTAAGATGTAAAATATGTAACCTAGCAAAACAGGATAGCTCTGGTGATGGTAAGGAAAAAAGTATTTGAAAGTAGGTAATGGAAAATATAGATTCTAACTTTTTTTTTTCTAAAAAAGAAATATCTGCAGTTAAATGTAACTGTAGTAATTTTGCAAGTACATAATCAGTCTGCTTGAAATTCTGTTTTACAAGTATGGGAGCAAGCTAGAAACATATTCCAGTTATGGTGGCATTTATAATCTCTGGAAAGAAACCTCAGAATATTAGACAAAAGTAATATTCGTTTTACACTAAGGCAACAATAAAATACTTTTTCTGTTCTTGAAAAGTTAAGAAGAAAAATGTAGAATTAATTAATGCTGTTCTAGTCTCCTGTGTGTTCTGCTGCTTATGGAAGTTAAAACAACCTTTCACCTCTTTAAGTAATCAGAGTTGGCTAACTCAGTCCATTTTGTAACATCTTTCAAAACAATGGTTTGTGATTATAGAAATGGGAAGGCAAATCAAGTGAGATATAAAATTCTATGTTAAAAGTAAAAAATTTATATCAGAATTGTAGCATACAGTTTAATTATATCTCTCTATTTTTTAAACATTTTAATTATATGGCATGCTTTTAGCCTTTTGATCAACCTTTATTAATTAAACTTGCTGGATGATGGATGGTTTTACTCTGCCAAATAAAGAAAGAGTAAAAATAAGTTTAAGTTACCTCTGTCATAAGTGATTGATGCTACAATAAATATATTTTGGTTATTGCACAGTTGTACTTGGCCAAAATTGAATGCTTTGTTGTGAGGAATGAATTGATATATATATACATAATCATCATATTAATGTAATTTTGCCACTAATATTTCATATACACATCTAAAATTCCTCTAAAATTTAATTGTTTATTTCACATTAACTTTCACATTTAGTGCATAAGTGCATGCTCTGATTGTGGTGTTGAATACAAATGTGTTCTGCCTGTTTCTAGGGTGTCGTATTGGTGACTTATTTTCCCCTTCCCCTAACACTAACCCTACCCCTAACTCTATCTGTGATGTATAGGTATATATTCCATCCAAAATGTCTGACTCCTATCAGGGTCGTGTCCCTTTTGCTGTGCCAGACAAAGTTCCTTGGATCCAAATGGCAGAAGTGTTAAACATGAAATTCCGTGCTGCTTGTGGACAGGGCCTTTCTGCAGAGAATCTTCAGTATTTGGCCACTAAAGGATTTCGTAGTAAGTAAAATTCTAATGTTGGGTTTGTTTGTTTGTTGTTTTTTGTGGGGGGGGGGGTCTTGAAACTTTGTTTGAATACCTGATGAGAGATTAGATTGGGACACACCCATAAAATATAACTTATCTATAGCATAATAAATAAAATTATACCAAAAAGAAACTAATAATTTTTGATTTCTTTCAAAAGGAAAGCACTCATGGAGAAAACAAAAATTAGTAATAAGTTTGAAAGTTAGTATTGTGATCTCTAGTGATGTGGTATTTATAGTAGCTCGCACAGACTAGAGAGAAGTGTTTATTTTTCAGATAGTTATGTGATAGTGATTTTTAGTGTAGGGGGAGAAGAAAAGAGAATAGGAAAGTTATTAGTGAAACAAAAGAATTAGTAAATAGGAGAATTCAGAATTTTATTTTAAAATATTTAAAAGAATAAATTCATACACAATATAAGATTAGAATAGAAAACTGGAAACTAGAATGGACTACATTCATATATATATATATATATA